CATAATCAGTAAATTGATGTTGCTGTTTTTGTTTTGTTTTTTGGTTTCCCGTTCTCGGGGACTTCTATTCGGTACTCTTTGTAGTTGTACTTCTGTACTGTTGAACTATCCGAATTCAAATAAAAACTTTAAAAAAAGTCTGAGAAGGAGAAGAAAGACGTGTGTGACCATAATCGTCGGGAATCGAACCCGCCACCTCTCGATTGGAAATCGCTGCACATACTAATGCACCATATAGGACACAAACACGAACACATTCACACACACACACATACACACACACACACGCACACACACACACGCACACACCACCCGCACACACATACACTCATACACACACACGCACGCACACGCACACAAACACACACACACACTCACACGCCACACACACACAAATACACACACATACACACACACGCACGCCAGCACACGCACGCACGCACATAAACACACACACGCAAGTTTATCGGATTAGAATAAATACACCAGTAGCTTTGTTCTTGACAGGTCCCAGGAAGGCAGGGGTCGGTGGAGATGCGCTCACAGAACTGACCAACGAAATGTTTCACATACGATTTTCTCCGAGCCAGCACATCATATTGTTAGGTTCATTTACATTCCGATACGTTTTGTTATCCTTTCAAGTATTTGTGTGTGTACTTCATTGTTCTTGCTCCTATGCAATTCCGTGTATGCCATCTGAAGTGAAGGCATAAATTGAAAAGGCTTCCTGTCTGAAGCCTTTCCATACTGGTGCTCGATGTTTCAGTTTTGTGACACGAGAATGGCACGAGAATTAGTGTATCGCTGAGTGTACCGCTTGACACTTTGTTGACACTTTGTTGACACTTTGTTGACACGTGACCCCATTACCGCCCTACCAAGTGCCTTTGGCAATCGCTAGCTGAAGCTGTGGACTGGTTTGGAACAACATGCTGACCCCGCCACCCCAATCTACGTGGAGGAGTTCCGCAATTTGCTACTTCGTACTGACTGCGTGTCCGGCATCGGCCTCGCAATCTGCTGCTCTAGGGAGCCAAATAGGGCTCCGTGATCTGCTCCATCTCCACCGTCGCCAATCTACTGCGCATACGTAGACCCAGGAATGAAGTTACTGGAAGGAATGTTTGCAATGTGGAAGACGAATATGAAGAATGGTGGGAATCGGGCGACAATGGCTGGGATGTAAGTCCAACATTGCTGTTGCTATAGTTACCACTGCCTGTTTACAAGGGAGTCATGTACATGAATGTTGCCGTTTTGCCTTTTACCATGTTCTCCGTCGACTGTACTCCCAGGACTAAACTTACGGGAAGGAGTATTACATTTTGCAAGATGGAAGAAGAAGAAGAAGAAGAAGAAGAAGAAGAAGAAGAAGAAGAAGAAGAAGCGTGGGAATCCGACGGCAATGCCTGGAATGTAAGCCCAACCTTTCTGGAACCAGAGTTGCCACTGTTTGTTTATAAGGACTTCATGTGTGTTGCCTTTTTGCCTTTTACCATGTTCTCCGCCGACTGTACTGGTCTGGTGGACACTCTCACGTGTGTTGCACTTTTCAGGCAGTAGAAGGGGGAGGGAAGTGTGCAGCACATGCTGGCATGCAGGAATGCTGGGAGGAACTAGGCAAATGTCTGACCCTTCCTCTTACTCCAAGAAAAAGCAGATTTACCATACTGCAGTACCCGGAAGGGCACCTTTGCCCGGGCTTTGGGGCAATGTAATGTGACCAGGATATGCAACTTAGGGTAACACCACCACTGGTACAAGGTATCGCAGTGTAATGGTACCGTAACTTTGTTACTACACGAAGCTACTTACGTGGAATATCCAACATTGGAGTTCATCGACGGCCATGTAATAAATAATGGCCTATGCCTATGGACCAGAGTTCCCAGCTGCATCCACATGTAGGTAGGGATCTCAGCACGTGAACTGCGCAGCCAGTTTGCGTAGGTGAGATTTTCAATCCCAAACGCGTCCAGTGCAGAAACCGTGAAAAGAACATTTTTCCGAAATATATCAAGTTGAAGAAGACCGTAGAAATGGCTCAATGTTGCGTCTAAGAATGCATGTTCTACGGCCATCTCCAAGCTACCTATCTCCCAGACACATATTTCACTCTTGGACGCAGCGTGAAAACCTCTTCTTTTGAGAGCGATGTCTTCCCTCTGAGTGTTAATGGTGGCGATGTTCACGATGGCTGATGCACTGAAAATCGAAGTTAGGACAATCTAACAGGAGAAAACGTCTCAATTTTTATCTGAATCTTCTCTGAAGTGACTTCTTACCCCATGGCAAATTATCGGAAAATCGACCGGGGCGATATCGCCTTGGCCACGCTGTCCTTCGGCAGGAATCACAAAGTATGTTCAAACAACGATGAAGATGATGATTCCGCCAGTGTCGAAAATCGGCCGTCGGCATTTTTACAGCTGTGTCCACGAGCTGCACTCGAAACTCGATGACGCAATGTATTCGCAAACACCCTGCGCATTGCACGCGATGAGATCCCTAATGTAGGAACATCGTGCTACAGGTGCGTTCGGGTACCGTCATTCGCGATTTATGTGGATAAGTTCACGTTTGGGGGACAATGCGCCAGTTGTAATTTCTTACTTTTACAATGGGGCAGCACCGGTAAAGGTTTTTCAGAACCGCTCACAGAGAGGTTTTTATATGCATAATGTACATGTATACTCACTGTGAAAACGCTCAACACGTTGCCGTTCAAGAACCTTAAGTGTGTTCTCCTTGTACTTGTAAGTGTGATGACTTTAGTGTCTCCAAGGAAACGGTTTTGAAAACAACAACGTAATCTTAAGAGAAACATCGCTATTCGTCAGAACGATAGATGACTGAAAACGCATGGTCAGAATGATTCTAGTCCGAAATAATATGCATGTACTTGCACACATCCACAAGCACTAGGTTCCAGTATTAATGCATCCAGTTTGTAGTTGGCTTTCCCCAAATCGGCCCGTTGGCTTAAAAATTGGTGAGATATTGTAAGATTTGGTAGATTTACGGCAACAACACACTAGTGTGACTAGACTACAAGTACTGAAGTAGAGAACTCGAGCGGTCATGCTTGCAGCAACATCATTCCTTCATAAGCGCACTTTGCAGCAACATTTTTTTAATTTGGTAGATTTTAGGCAATGTTCAAACGAGCCCTCCAAAATTGGCGAATTTTGGTAGATGTTAGGCGATTGGTTTGGTTTGGTTTTTATTATTTCAGTTCGTTGCCTCCACAGTACAAAGTACAAATATCAAGAGGGACAAACGAAAAGAGAGAATAAAACAGAGCAGAGAGGAAGATGCAACTGAAAGGAAAGAAAAAACGGAGAGAAATGGAGAAGGGCTGTGGACTGGGTGGATTCATGAACCATTACTAGAGCTGTTCAATGCATGAATAGAAGGGGCAAGCCCGTCGATTTTCACGCGATTTTCACGCGATTTTCAAAGGAGCCCTCCAAAATCGGCGAAAGGCTTAGCAATTTTTCGATAGGTCTCGTTTTTTGGCGAATTTTTCGGTTGGTCGATTTGGGGAAAGCCTAGTTTGTGGCAACTGAATAGATCGGTTGTGTGCTGACAATAGCCATTGGCGAGTAATGATCGAACAATTGGCAGATTCTGCTCGAAAATCATTGAAAATAGCGGAACCATACAAACCTTATGTCAGGCACTTCCCTGCTTCATTCCTTTACCAACATACTTTTGAACATGCATAAAACATTCCTGGAAATGACTAAATTTTGCTAACTGCCGGCATTATCCACCTAGTGCTAGTTGACAATCATTACTCTTTTCTCATTAACTCTGGTGGAAAAAGTCCTCCAGTGACGTCTACATGAAAAGAAGATCCTCACTGATGTAAGAACCCAAACGTTGTAACCTTAATGCTGCCAATCTTTTTATCCTGGACGGGGTTATGAGTCACGTACTGTAGTGTGATGAGCAAACTTGTAGTGGTAGAATCATTTCCAAAAATCCACAACAGAGGCCGGGGATTTAAGTGCGGGTGTAGTATCCCTGCCCGACCAATACGGAAGCAGTACGGAACTAATACGGAGCTTTGCCTGATGTATATTTAGTGTATCTCCGTATGTAAGCGTACGGCGTCTGCTGCATAAAAGCGGCTGCGCATTTCTGTTTTGATGAAGAGAAGATTAGATTAGATTGGATAGCAATGAAAGCTAACTCGAAGAATAAGGATTCAGCCTCTAGGTGAGCACCGGAGAGAAAGTCAGTTATTTTGCCGCTTCTTCTTTCACGAACGATTATATCTCAGGTGTGTACCTGAAAGTAGAATAAAAGTAATTATTGTTGATTTCACCGCGCCTACCACTCGGCTACCCATTACACGAGTCCGCTCAATAGCCAATAGACTCACGTCCTCAACATTCCTTGAGATGCTTTTCCCCTCTCCCTGACAGACCCATGTGACTAGATACTGGCAGGGAGCTAGTACCGTATGTGTGCGGTATGTGTGTGCGCATGAATGCGTGGCTTCTCTGCCTCTGTCTTTTAAGGCTACTCATACTTCATTTCGTGTAGGGGAAATTCATTGCGCGACCTTCGCGCTATGGCTTTCCCGTATTCGACGCGTTTCCCGTACTTGAAATGAAGTATGAATTGGTTTTTAGTCTCTAGCTCTGCCTTTGTATCAGTCTGTCTTCGTTTCTCTCTCTTCAAGAAACCAGACATGGTTTTGTTATGGATATCAGAAATGTAAAGTACAAAACATGCAGATAAGCATTAGTATCAGGTGCTCACTGAACAGCTTCTTGAACATATGCTACTCCGACTATGGAAACCTTGCATGATGCAACTCCACAAGCCCCCCCCCCCCCCCAACCCTCGTCCTCAAGGCATACAGTCATAACAATCCAAACACACCTAATAAACAAATCCGTTGATCCCCGAGCTGCAGAAACTGCTCAATGTCAGAAACAGACATTAGAACATAGCAGACTCAGGGGAGGATGCAAAATCAAAAATAGTTTTCATTGAGGTCATAATTCACATTCCTGCTGTGGACGCATCAAGGAAAGAATGGGTAAGTTTGGACGTGACTAAAGAGGTAAGAGTAATATTCACTTAACCAATCTGGGTATATATTACAGGGGATGAGGCAGCGTACAACTAGACAAATACTTGACAACCAGAGAGATGTGAAAACAAAGATTATCAACTTTCTGACGATAGAAAGAAAGTGAAAAGCAGTACAGTTTGCATACTGTAGTTATCATCAGTGATTGACTGTAGTTAGCAACCTACTACACTCACACACTCATATCCAGTGTGTACAGAGAACCAGGACTGTCAGGTCCACCTACACTGAGTACCAGGGTACTGCCAAACAGTGTGAGTGATGGAGTGTAAGCACTGTACTCTGGCATAGCTGGTAGTGGATAGACCTGACCAGATGAAATATCATATACAACACACTTAGCAGAAGGAGTGCCTGGGCAAATAACCATGCAATGGTCAGACAGTGCACATGCTGCACTAAACTTCAGCTTAACACCATCAGGTGGACTGGTGGACACCCACCTACCATCATGGTGTTTGAGAAAACAACCAGTGGGACCACCAACTATGTACAGTGAATCAGGGAATGTGACAAGTGATGCAACGCTGCATGGCAGTGGCAATGAAGGTAATACTAGGCTAGCATTGGATGATGAAGAAGAGCTCCACTGCTTGCTAGCTAGAGAATAGGTACTAACATGATTGTAATATGTTCCATCAGCATACCTGCCACCATATAGAGAAATAGCATCATGACATACATGTAGAGAACACCAGTCATGGTAACACTGCGACGGGACGTCTGTCAGTTTGGTCCACTGACCACCACCATCACCACCATCACCACCACTGCGGCCGCCATCACCGTTATCTGGTGTGTCACAGTACTGCAGAATAGAGCGCACCCATGTGTTGCTGCTCTTGGTGTATGTGTTACAGTACATGTACAGCATACCACCATGGGATGCCAGAGATGGCTGAGTCAGCTTACTGTATTCACTTGGTAGGTCAATACTGTGCCATGTCTGCAGGTCTGATGTCTCAGTGATCTTGGTGATGTTCACACCATCACGCCACACAGCAACCAGTTTGTCACTGTACGTGGCAAGCCTGGCATGTTTACCATGCTGCTGTCCTACTGACTTGTTCCACTGCGTGATCAAAGAAAACCACATACCGGATAACACACAGGCACAAAACAAACATCAACAGACACACACACACACGCTCACACACACACACACACACACACACACACACACACACACACACACACACACACACACACACACACACACACACACACACACACACACACACACACACACACACACACACACACACACACACACACACACACACACACACACACACACACACACACACAACAAAGACATGCACACACGCAAACACACACACACACACACGCAAACACACACGCACAGATACAAACCGCACATAATAAGATACATAAACAGAAATGACTACAAATCTACTGTAATGTACATAAAAGGTCTTCATTGCAGAAGATAGGCAGGGAGGCACAGTCCGTTGGTATTAGACCATGATGTGGAAATGAGCCTTCTGCTAGGTACCCGGTTCAAGTCCTGATTGGAAGTGGAAGGATTTTTCCAGCTGTACTGCGACCCGTAGTGAATTGGGTCACCAGTAGCCTTTGGCAGGTAGTGCTGGCTGAATATTTTACAGAGGTTGGTGCTTTTTCTGGTACGTTTCATTCATGTTTGGTATGTAGATAAAGAAATGGAGCAGACGTTAAGGACGTGCATGCCATAATGTTTGTATGGTTCTGCCAATTTCACTGTGCTAAGAGCAGAATGTGCCAGTTTTTGAGCAGTATCTCGATGGGTCACTCACAAGTGACTGGTGTTCTTATTTTTAACCAGGTCAAAGCACCCCTGCCCCCCCCCCCCTCCCCCAACCGGGTCACTGACCTGGATAACCTGGTCTTGGAGCACACACTGGTTCGATTTTTTCTAACCAGAACATAAATTCATATTATTGACACAGGCAACCTCTGCTATACTGCCTCTGGCTATAACCGGAAGTTTGTCGTACGTGATGCCATTGAAAGTAATCAGTTACTTGTTAGGACAAGACGAAGATGTCTAATGAGAGCCTGTAGACCGATTGTTTTCACCACGTACACCCCCCAAAATGACGGCATACTGATATTAAACACCGCATTTTGGCCGCAAAATTCGAAATCAAAAACTGAATTCCACGGTTCGTGTGACACTCGGCTGAGCTTCCCACATTCGTAGGAACTCCACAACCGCCGAGGATCACGGTGCAGATGTATCCCCTGAAGGGTCGAGAGAAGAGCACATCACACCCACCATTATAGTGGTCAAAGATGTAGAATCTCATTCGCTGCATCCATGCTTCTCTCGGGGCCAGGCCAGGAGTTCCCAATTAACCATGGTTCTCAGCACGGCTGGAAAAATTCTTCTGTTTCCAAACATGAGTTGCAGCTATTACAGTAAAACCTGGTGTAAGTGACCTCTGGGTTAGCGAACACCTGCTCTTAACCACCTCTGGGTTAGCGACCACCTGCTATTAACCACCTCTGGGTTAGCGACCACCTGCTATTAACCACCTCTGGGTTAGCCACCACCTGCTATTAACCACCTCTGGGTTAGCGAACACCTGCTCTTAACCACCTCTGGGTTAGCGACCACCTGCTATTAACCACCTCTGGGTTAGCGACCACCTGCTATTAACCACCTCTGGGTTAGCGACCACATGCTATTAACCACCTCTGGGTTAGCGACCACCTGCTCTTAACCACCGTTTTTACATGCACTGACAGTTCTACACAGACTCTACGGGACCTGGTTTTAAAGACCACCTGGTTCTAAAGACCACCTGGTTTTAAAGACCGCTTTTGCATGGATGCAGCTACTGGGGTCGTTCTCGGCACTTGTGCCAGTGGTTGTGAGACTTATCCACTCACCCCCACCGTTAGCCGCTGCATCTGCTGCTAGGGTTTACCGGGTGTTAGCGGCCGTTGTGAGTTCCCTTCGGGAACGGACACGATAATTTACTCTTTTAAAAAAACTTTTGCTTGCAGGGTAGACGTGGTCACTTAAACCAGGTTTTACTATGCTTGTTTCTTCTGTTTCTCACCCATGCTCCTAGACCATTCCATTGTTCGCCATAATTAGTTACAAAATCAATGGCATGTTCTATGATTTTTGGGGATAGTTTTTGGGCATTACACCTAGGGCTGAGTGGGGTAGCAATTTTGTTCGGGTATCGGGTTCGGGTAGTTTTCCACGGGTAGCACGGGTACCCGATCCGGTAATGTTTCCATGGTAACACCACCATGCACCCCTTCCCTTACACACTGAGTGTGTTCGATTATGCCCGCGAACCGTCATGAATCGCCCCTGGCCATTCTCATCACCCGATGTGAATAGGGTGAATGGATTCCGAATCGATTCCAGAGCTCATGACATGAAATTGAACGGCGAGAGTCAATTCAAGAATCAATTCGCGAGCATAATCAAAAACACTCACTGGGTAGATATGAGGAGTATTGCCATGATTACATGAATTTGTACACGTGCACTCTACATGATGTCATCTGCGACTTTGGGTTTTCGGGTACTATCCTGTACCCGTCTACTCGAGGTCTTCACGGGTAGTACCGGTACCCGACTACCCGTGCACACCACTAATTATACCCGGGAAAGGTATACATACTATCCAGACTTGTTTTAAAGTGCTTCCAAGTATCTGGTATTGAAATTTGTCTTAAATTGCTACCCCTACGTCTGAAAACACAATGGACTCATCCAACCGTACCATTCTGCGCTTCTTGATGTTTGCAATCTGTGTTGGGGTTGGCATAGCAGGTAAGACATGATATCCTCTACCAACGGATGAAACAGCCGTGTTTGCAGCTCCTGTGGCATGTGCCTAAAAACAGCAGAGAGGCACCATCAAGAGAGAAAGAATCACATAGAAATGAGTTATGAAGCAACTATCCACGACTGTAACAAGTTGATAAGCCGTCAGAAAGTGCGATAACAGGGTACAAAACTGACAGGCCAATGAGACATTAGATTAACAACCTGAGGCCTAGCTCTAACACATCTCCAGAACGCACACCAATAACCTCAACACACAGGGCGAACAACGCCAAAGCGAACAAAGAGCAAAAAAAAGTGCCTCGAATTGTAGTTATCCCGCATTGTCATGTTATTAACTGGTCTCGTTAGCGTCCTGTAATGGTCGGCATTCTTTGTTGCCATGGAACTTAGCTTGTGTATATTTTCTCTGCGCTAACCTTCCCCTCATTGGTCCTTCCATAACTTTGAACCTTCCCAGCCGGAAGACTGTTGGTTTGCGCACTGGAGATGTGTTCTAGGTCTCAGGTCGAGCTAGTTGCACTGGAAACTATGCACCAAACTGCACCAAACTGTCACAGTGAGTCAATGAGGGACACTCTGGGACAAAAAGGAACCACATTTGGGCAAAATAGCATATTTAGCCTAGTGCGGATATCTTGGTCGCTACCGACATTGACTCTGCTGGATATCGTACAACAGAGGTATGTTGTTTCACTTACTCTAGTTACTGCAGGAGAGCCAGTCACGGCAGGGGCACTGGCTGAAGCTGAACTTGACTGGCTGTCTTGTGCAGCAATGGGACTAGAAACAGGTACCTGCAGTTTATAACACCGGCACAGACACACCAACACACATACCCACACACACACACACACACACACACACACACACACACACACACACACACACACACACACACACAACCATGCACAACCACACACACACACAAATACGCACACAAACAGACAAACAAATGGTTTGTTACCTCGGAGGTTTTATACCTGGCAGTGACCGGATATCGGAGTGGATACTAGAGGATATGTGAAAGTTGTATTGGTGTAATTATAGGGTGGTCTATGTCAGGGACGACATTATAAATTTTTACTGTTAAACTGGCAATCAGGGTGAGGGGTTACAGGGGGGATGCTAAAGACCAGTTGACATTCGACAGGGCGAGGCGTAACACGCCTTTAGAAACAACAGGACACTCATGACGCTGATTGGCGACATCCAATGTGATTGTCAGAAACGAGAATGCAAACGTGCTACCGTACAAACCGGGAAGTGTAGTACAATTTCCCGGCTAACATGGGATCATACGAGAAAAATCATCAAGATCAGGGCGAAAATCATCTGGTGTGAACTCCGTTGTCACACAGGATTCTGACAAATCTGCTACGATTTTCTTATGATACGATTTTTCGACCAAGTATCGCAGGATCGATATTTGACCCAAAGGTGGGCTGACTTTTACTGCTTTCACATGTTGGAGCGGGCCTCCAACAAGGAATTTCACCATGACAGCAGAGAGAGTCGATGCAGATTGTGAACTAGCCCTTTCATGCTTTTGACCCTGTAGCTTGTGTATATAGAAGCGATCACATCTCCGCTCTGACGTCTACCACTCTCTAGTGTGGCTGTGTAAAACTTGTATGTATGTGCACAGACAGCCATACAAGTGAATTAGGTCACTGTTCAGTTGTGTGTGTGAACAGGTAGTCACACTGGTCCCACACAGTTCACCGATTTCATGTTGGAGTCCATGTAGAAGCATGGGCTGATAAATGGGACTAGTGTGAAACCGGCAGTACAGAGAAAAAATGTTGCGCAACTTACCGTAGCTGTTGTAACAGAGGCAGTGGCAGAAGCAGAACTTGACAGGCTTTCTGGCGCACTGGTAGGCATAACCTGCGGCTGATGGAAATACACGCACACACACACACACACACACACACACACACACACACACACACACACACACACACACGCACACACACACATTATGAGAGTGTGTGCACATGCCGACAGGCACGCATACATTCATACACGCGAACCAAAAAAAACATCAACCCCAGCAGTTGGTCGTACATCAATCTCCTTCAAGTCAAGTTACAGAACAGTTCAATACACTATGGTCAAGCCCGCCATAGTAGGGCTTGAAAGTGATGACATCAAAACGGCCAGGGAGTAGTAAGTTCACATCAGATTTATACTTTTGGATCCACTAAGGTGTGACTTTGCTATTGTCTACAGTGTGTGGGTGCATAGCAATCGTATTCAGGTGTGTCTTTTTCTTAGCCACCAGTTGTCACCCCACCCCCATTAGCCAACCCAGTCAATTTCACCGGCTATATCACCTTGCTGTGAGTAAGACTGCTTGAAATGTGCTTGGATCCATACAAAAACTGGATCCATAGGGATCCAGTTTTTGATTTTTTAAATTGTTACTAAGCTGTGACGTAGCCTTTTCAAGCCCCCTTATAAACCTGATTGCAGCCACAGATTGCAGTTGTCTGAATTCCTAATCCTCCAAAATAAGCAGTAATATAGGCAGAACGAAAATGAAGGGGGGCTGGGGTGCGGATCATCTGACCCACAATTTAGTGAGTTTTACCGCCATCTTGTGCCTCCATTTTCTGCTGTGCTAAAACAGGATGTGTAATTATAATGCATATAAAAAGGTGGCAATCGCACTCTGAAGGTTGGAGCATTCTCTCTGAAAGGGGGCAGTCAAAAAGTGAAAGAGGGTGTAGCGCCGCGCTATGTCAATTTATCGAGAACCCCAAGAAGTCCAGCAGGCCCTCATGTTTGGGTTGGTGTCCACTGTACAAACTTCATCATCCACCAAAACGCGAGCTCCGGTATGGGATCATCCAACTTTCCTACAATCAACGCCAAAGTGGTTTCCACTATCTGGTTTAGCAATGCCTAGCACGGCCTTCGGACTAGCTGGTTTGTGGGCAAAAGCATTGCGGTTGACAATGTATCTATCCATGAACAACACTGACTGACATTGCTATCCAATATTCATGAGGTGCTTGCTGCACTGGAAACTATGCACCAAACTGCACCAAACTGTCACAGTGGGTCAATGGGACACAATCTGGGATGAGGAGAGGAGCCACATATGGGCAAAATAATAGCAAATTTGGCCTCATGCGGATATTTTGGTCGTTAAACGACATTGAATCCTAATGTTCGATAACTTTAGCTGTGCTCACAACTGGCGCGTGTACGCAAGAAACCACTCGTTCGTGCATATTTTGCTGGCTTTTGGGGCGCCATGCGTACGGAAACACGCCAAAATGGAAATTTCAACATGTTGGAATTTTCCGCGCGCATCAGGCGCGTACCAGCGTACATGCCAATCACTTTGACTGGTGGTTTCAAAACATTAGTACTCGAAGGTGTCGCACACGCTAAATACGACTCGGGTTGCTGTTTTTTGTGAAAGCCTGAGCACGCGTTTGGGCACGCATTAACCGCAAGTGTACCGCCTACACTCGCCAGTTGGGAACACAGCTTTACGATATAGGCTATGTCGTTCAACTTACTCCCGTTGCTGTAGGAGAGGCAGGGGTAGGGGCAGTGGCAGAAGCTAAACTTGAGCGGCTGTTTTGTGCAGCAATGGGACTAGTGAAAGGTTCCTGCAGTTTATCACACCGGCACACCCCCCCCCACCCACCCCCACACACACGCACACGCGCGCGCGCGCACACACACAAACACACACACACACAAACAAACGAAAAGTTCATTCGCATGATTATACAAGTAAATAATACAATAACATGCTGGATATGATATGTACACTTAAAAGTTTGATACCCGACAGTGACCGGATATCGGAGTGGATTCTAGAGGATATCCGGTTATGTGAAAGTGGTATTGGTATAATTATAGGGTGGTCCATGTCAAGGAGGGCATTATGATTTTTTACTGTTAAACTGGCAATCAGGGTAAGTGGTGACATGCGGGATGCTTATTTTAAGACTCGTACACATTCGACGGGGGGTGACGTGACATGCCTTTAGGAACGACACGCCACTCGTGACGCTGATTGACGGGCTTCCAATGTGATTGTCAGAAACGGGAATGCAGCCATGCTATCGTACAAACTGGGAAGAGTAGGGCCATTTCCCAGATGACATGGAATCATACGAGAAAAAGCAACAAGATCAAGGCGAAAATCACCTGGTGTGAACCCCGTTGTCACACAGGATTCTGACAAATCTGCTACGATTTTCTTATGACACGATTTTTCGACCAAGTATCGCAGGATTGATATTTGACCCAAAGGAGGGCTGACTTTTAGTGCTTTCACATGTTGGAGCGGGCCTTCAACAAGGAATTTCACCATGAGAGCAGAGAGAATCGGTGCAGATTGTTAACTAGCACTTTCATGCTGTTGACCCTGTAGCTTGTGTATATAGAAACGATCACATCTCCGCTCTGACGTCTATCACTCTCTAGTGTGACTGTGTTCAACTTACCGTAGCTGTTGTAGCAGAGGCTGTGGCAGAAGCTGTACTCGACAGGCTTTCTGGTGCAGTGGTAGGCCTTCCCTGCAGCTGCTAGAAACATACACACACACACACACACACACACACACATACACATACACACACACTTTGCTGTACTGTATTGACAGCTACCCTAACGGGTCACGCCGCCCTCCACCCAAGCACGGGTATGATGAGGGACAGTGGCAACAAAAACAAAAAACAGCAAGCAGAGAGAGATAGCAGGAGAAAGACAGCGATAGTAGTACATCTGGTGTGCGACGTATAGAAAGGAGAGATGACAAGAAATACGCACAAAAAGGAAACAATAATTATTTGTTAACTGGTTTGAGGGAAATAATTATTTGAACCTGTATTATTGCAGTTCCGAAACAATCAACCAGGTGATGGAGTGTGGGCACCCGAAGTCCCGCCTGGACTCCACTGGAAGAACATCCCACGCAGGGATATCAGCGATAGGCCAAGCGTTGAAAAACAGCCATGAGGACACATCTTCTAGAAGTCCACCGCGCTCGAACTGAAATTGCAGGATCAAACAATTTCCCACTTGTCGTCAGGCAGCATAACTCTTCCCCCTGCATCACCATCAATCTCCAGCAACCGTCTCCACTCACAGCTTATGCCACTGCCACCACTGTACTCCGAGCTTTGCAGTTTGAAACCATTCGGGGGTCAGCTACACTACCTCGAATGGAGAAACGAGGACGACAACGGTCATGGCAGAAAAGACACTGCCTTGGCGACCGCGTCTCGGAACCCTCACCCTGAAAATTCAGAAACACGCCAGGGGCGACTCTGCTGGACCCAGAGCCACCCCGTGGCCTAAGACTAGTAAGAGGAACGACTGAAACTCAGATAAAATGAAGCTACAAAAAGTTCAACCGTCCCCTTCAAGCACAGTTGCACACGCACGCGCGAGCGCGCACGCGCGCGCGCACGCACCCACGCACGCGCGCGCGCACGCACACACACACACACTCACACACACACACACACACACACACTAACACACACACACATGCACATACAGACCAACAAACATCATGCGAGTCTGTGTGCACATGCAGACAGTCACTCAAACATTCGTACACGCGATCACCAAAAAACATTACCCTCAGCAGTTGGTCATATAACAATCTCCTTCAAGCCAAATTACAGAAAAGCTCAGTACACTATGGGCAAGCCCGGCACAATAGAGCTTGAAAGTGATAGCGTCAAAACGGCCAGGGAGTAGTAAGTTCACGTTATATTTCTAGGTTTGAATCCACTAAGTGTGACTTTGCTATTGCCTACAGCGTGTGGGTGCATAGCAACTTGTGCTGTGCACGGGTAGTCGGGTACCCGAGCTACCCGTGAGGACCTCGGGTAAACGGGCATAGAATAGTACCCGAAACCCGAAGTCGCAGATGACATCATGTACAGCGTGAGTGTACAAATTCATGTAATACTCCGCGTGTCTACCCAGTGTGTAAGGAAAGGGGTGCATTGTGGTGTTACCATGGAAACATTACCCGATCTTCGCCACCAGTTGTCACCCCATCCTCATCAGCCAAACCAGTAAATTTCACCGGCTCTATATCACCTTGCTTTGAGTAAGACTGCTTGAAATGGGCTTAGATCCATAAAAACACTGGATCCATGAGGATCCAGTTTTTGAATTTTTGAAATTGTTGCTATGCTGTCACGTAGCACTTTCAAGCCCTACTATAAACCTGATTGCAGGCACAGATTGCAGTTGTCTGACGTCCTAATCTTCCAAAATAAGCAGTGTTATAGCGAAAACAAAAATGAAAGGGGGGAGGGGTGCGCAGATCATCTGACCCACAATTTCGTGAGTTTTACCGCCATCTTGTGCCTCCATTCTCTGCTGTGCTAAAACAGGATGTGTAATTATAATGCATATAAACAGCTGGCGATCGCACTCTGAAGGTCGGAGCATTCTCCAGAAAGGGGCATTCAAAAAGTGAAAGAGGGCGTAGTGCCACGTTATGTCGATTTATCGAGAACTCTGAGAAGTCCAGCAGGCCCTCATGTTTGGGTTGGTGTCCACTGTACAAACTTCATCATCCACCAAAACGCGAGCTCCGGTGTGGGATCATCCAACTTTTCTACAATTAATGCCAAAGTGGTTTCCACTATCTGGTTTAGCAATGCCTAGCACGGCCTTCGGACTAGCCGGTTTGGGGGCAAAAGCATTGCGGGTGACAATGTATCTATCCATGAACAACACTGACTGACATTGTTATCCAATATTCATGAGGTGCTTGTTGCACTGGAAACTATGCACCAAACTGCACCAAACTGGCACAATGGGTCAATGAGGCACAATCTGGGATAAAAAAAAGGAGCCACATTTGGGCAAAATAGCATATTTGGCCTTGTGCAGATGTGTTCGTCCCTACCGACATTGACTCTGCTGGATATCGTACAACAGAGGTATGTCGTTCAACTTACTCTCGTTGCTGTAGCAGAGGCAGTGGCAGGGGCAGTGGCAGAAGCTGAACTTGCCCGGCTGTCTTGCGCAGCTATGGGACTAGAAACAGGTACCTGCAGTTTATCACACCGGCACAGACACACACATACACACACACACACATACACACACACACACACACACACACACACTGTACTGTACTGTACTGTCCTTTCTGACTGCCAGAGATTGGTCACGTGGGTCTCCCCGGGAGAGGGGAGAGAGGAACTCAAAAGGAATCTTGGGAAGAGGACTCAATTGGTTATTGACCCCGACCAACGGCCAACACCTCTGAAATCTACAAACTATGGTGGACTTGGAAAAGTTGTATTTCTCGCCGGCCGAGAGCAGCGAGATAGGCGAGAAATAGTTTGGAGTCTCACCAGTGTTCCCACCCTTGTCCCCACCCTCCCATCCTTCATTTTTGTGCATCTTGTTATTGCTTTTCTACCACTTTTTGCCGTGATGTGGTTGCCATGCCTACATGATGCCTAATCGCCATTGGGGATATACACCTGGTCTCTTTCCCTCACTGCTACCGTCGGCGCGAGGGGTTTTCCCGGCTGGCTCGAACCAGGAAAATTAATCTGACGGTCCCAAGTGGTTCTGCATCATGGCCTATTGCTGCCATCCGCTTGCACACCGATTCTACCGGGGACACTCTGTTATCAGTCCTTGCTTACATACCTCATTTGTTATCCGGTTCACATCTGGCTGCGGCCAACTACCCTTCATCTGGCAAGTTCTTCAATCCAAAGGGGAAAAAGACCTAAGAGCCATCAGTATGTGTGGCAATTTTTGTCAGCAGCCTTTGGAGTTATAAATATGTCAGCAACTTCTAGGTTCAGCCTGGTGTCATAGCTCAGGGGTTAGAGCATTGCTCATGACAAGCAAAGTCCCGGGTTTGAGTCCTGGTGGGTCTGGCGTTTTTTTTCTCTTTTCAGGCAGTTCACTACCCCGACTGATCCTTTGGATTTTCTTATCATATGATTTTTGGCCAAGTATGGCCGGTTAGATATTTGACCTAAAGGTCGGCCGGTTTATAGTGCTTTCACATGTTGGAGCGGGCTTCCAACAAGGAATTTCACCATGACAGCTGAGAGTGTCGGTGCAGATTGTGAACTAGCCCTTTCATGCTTTCGACCCTGTAGCTTGTGTATATAGAAACGATCACATCTCCGCTCTGACGTCTACCACTTTCTAGTGTGGCTGTGTACAACTTGTATGTATGTGCACAGACAGCCCTACAAGTGAATTAAGTCACTGTTCAGTTGTGTGTGTGTGTGTGAACAGGTAGTCACACTGATCCCACACAGTTCACCGATTTCATGTTGGAGTCCATGTAGAAGCATGGGCTGATAAATCGGCCTATAGTCTGTTTCAAAAAAATTAGCAATCAGGTTTTGGTCTTAAAAAGTATGAAGATAAGGGAGAATTGGACAACGAAGTATATAAAAGGGCTGGTTAGGGCACGGCAAATTGTTCTGATAAGGTTTTGGAACAATTGGACCAGCCGTTAAGGAGTTAGAATTTCGGCCAGGTTTCCCGCCTTTTCCCATGGTTTACAATTTGCCCTGGAAGCCAATATCGATTTTTCTATCAAAACCCACGATTTATCTTTTCCTTTCTGGCCTTGTGGGTATGGATGCTGTCTGCTGACCATGAAGTTGTGAGTTCAAATCCCAACCTATCTTCAACTCACACTTTTTTGCATTGTTTTTTGGTGATCAAGTAGACTTGTTGTTGTTACCGGTTGTTGTTGTTGGAGCTCCCGCTTCCTCCCGAACTGACTGACACTTGACTGGCTCACGCCATGTGAACACACCCACAACACTGAAACGGTGTGAGTGAATACGGAAGTCATTGCGCTGTAGCTACGTGTTGAATACACCGGCACATCGATCAATCGATTTCTTTTTGAGAATTATTTTAGTGTTTCAAGATCGCCAATTTATTTGAATTTAGAAGTCAACGCCGTCTTCTATTAGCTTCCACAGGCGTCTGCTTTTCTCAACATTGTGTCAGTCATGCGGATAGCTTCGCCAAGTCATGACCTTGGGAATGAGTCTGTGTCGATGTCGTTTTCGTCACATGGTGAGAGTAAATTGCATCGCAGCTCAAAGAAACTATTTGGTCACAAAACATATTGGGACCCATGCCGCTCGTCAGCCTCAGCATTGACCACACTTTCGACATGTCCTCTCTGACTCCATAATCGATACGAGGAAGAACTCGTTTGTTGTGAACCAGACGTACATGACTGTACCGACATCGACCTGAGTGAGTTGTCATTTTTCATGCTTTCGCGCGGAATATTTCTTCGAGTTCACAGTGAGTTTTTCCAGGCAGTGCTCGAGCGCTCATACGGTAAGACGGCAAACTCCCCGGGCAATCACCAGGATTGCTAATCTTTCTGAAACTGACTGTAGTGTGAAACCGGCAGTACAGAAAAAATGTTGTTCAACTTACCGTAGCTGTTGCAGCAGAGGCAGTGGCAGATGCAGAACTTGACAGGCTTTCTGGCGCAGTGGTAGGCATAACCTGCAGCTGATGGAAATACATGCATACACGCACACACACACACACACACACACACACTCACACACACAAACACACACACACACACACACACACAAAACATACACACACACACACACACACACACATACACACACACACACACACACACACACATTATGAGAGTGTGTGCACATGCCGACAGGCACGCATACATTCATACACGCGAACCAAAAAAACATCAACCCCAGCAGTTGGTCGTACATCAATTTCCTTCAAGTCAAGTTACAGAATAGTTCAATACACTATGGTCAAGCCCGCCATAGTAGGGCTTCAAAGTGATGACATCAAAACGGTCAGGAAGTAGTAAGTTCACATCAGATTTATACTTTTGGATCCACTAAGGTGTGACTTTGCTATTGTCTACAGTGTGTGGGTGCATAGCAACCCACTCATGTCGTATTCAGGTGTGTCTTTTTCTTAGCCACCAGTTGTCACCCCACCCCCATTAGCCAACCCAGTCAATTTCACCGGCTACACCACCTTGCTGTGAGTAAGACTGTTTGAAATGTGATTGGATCCATACAAAAACTGGATCCATAGGGATCCAGTTTTTAATTTTTTAAATTGTTGCTATGCTGTGACGTAGCATTTTCAAGCCCCCTTGTAAACCTGATTGCAGCCACAGATTGCAGTTGTCTGACTTCCTAATCCTCCAAAATAAGCAGTGTTATAGGCAGAACGAAAATGAAGGGGGGCTGGGGTGCGGATCGTCTGACCTACAATTTTGTGAGTTTTACCGCCATCTTGTGCCTCCATTCTCTGCTGTGCTAGCACAGTATGTGTAATTATAATGCATATAAAAAGGTGGCGATCGCACTCTGAAGGTTGGAGCATTCTCTCTGAAAGGGGGCAGTCAAAAAGTGAAAGAGGGTGTAGCGCCGCGCTATGTCGCTTTATCGAGAACCCCGAGAAATCCAGCAGGCCCTCATGTTTGGGTTGGTGTCCACTGTACAAACTTCATCATCCACCAAAACGCGAGCTCCGGTGTGGGATCATCCAACTTTTCTACAATTAACGCCAAAGTGGTTTCCACTATCTGGTTTAGTAATGCCTAGCATGGCCTTCAGATTAGCTGGTTTGTGGGCAAAAACATTGCGAATGACAATGTATCTATCCATGAACAACACTGACTGACGTAGCTATCCAATATTCATGAGGTGCTTGTTACACTGGAAACTATGCACCAAACTGCACCAAACTGTCACAGTGGGTCAATGGGACACAATCTGGGATGAAGAGAGGAGCCACATATGGGCAAAATAATAGCAAATTTGGCCTCGTGCGGATATTTTGGTCGTTAAACGACATTGAATCCTAATGTTCGATAACTTTAGCTGTGTTCACAACTGGCGCATGTACGCAAGAAACCACTCGTTCGTGCGTATTTTGCTAGCTTTTGGGGCGCCATGCGTACGGAAACACGCCGAAATGGTAATTTCAACATGTTGGAATTTTCGGCGCGTATCAGGCGTATACCAGCGTACATGCCAATCACTTTGACTGGTGGGGTCAAAACATTAGTACTCGAAGGTGTCGCACACGCTAAATACGACTCGGGTTGCTGTTTTTTTGTGAAAGCCTGAGCACGCGTTTGGGCACACATTGACTGCAAGTGTACCGCGTACACTCGCCAGTTGGGAACACAGCTTTACGATATAGGCTAGGTCGTTCAACTTACTCCCGTTGCTGTAGGAGAGGCAGGGGCAGGGGCAGTGGCAGAAGCTAAACTTGAGCGGCTGTTTTGTGCAGCAATGGGACTAGTGACAGGTTCCTGCAGTTTATCACACCGGCACACCCCCCCCCCACACACACACACACGCACACGCGCGCGCGCACACACCCACACACCCACCCACACACACACAAACAAACGAAAAGTTCATTCGCATGATTATACAAGTAGATAATACAATAACATGTTGGATATAATATGTTCACTTAAAAGTTTGATACCTGTCAGTGACCGGATATCGGACTGGATTCTAGAGGATATCTGGTTATGTGAAAGTGGTATTGGTATAATTATAGGGTGGTGCATGTCAGGGAGGGCATTATGATTTTTTACTGTTAAACTGGCAATCAGGGTGAGGGGTGACATGCGGGATGCTTATTCTAAGACTCGGTCACATTCGACGGGGCGTGACATGATAAGCCTTTAGGAACGACACGCCACTCGTGACGCTGATTGACGGGCTTCCAATGTGATTGTCAGAAACGGGAATGCAACCGTGCTATCGTACAAACTGGGAAGGGTAGGGCAATTTCCCAGCTGACATGGAATCATACCAGAAAAAGCAACAAGATCAAGGCGAAAATCACCTGGTGTGAACTCCGTTGTCACACAGGATTCTGACAAATCTGCTACGATTTTCTTATGATACGATTTTTCGACCAAGCATCGCAGGGTCAATATTTGACCCAAAGGTGGGCTGACCTTTAGTGCTTTCTAATGTTGGAGCGGGCCTCCAACAAGAAATTTCACCATGACAGCAGAGAGAGTCAGTGCAGATTGTAAACTAGCCCTTTCATGCTTTTGCCCCTGTAGCTTGTGTGTATAGAAATGATCACATCTCCGCTCTGACGTCTACCACTCTCTAGTGTGGCTGTGCACAACTTGTATGTGCGTACACAGTCAGGTCTACAAGTGAAATACCTCACTGATGAGTGTGTGATCAGGTAGTTTGACTCATCCGACAAAGTCAGCAGATTTCATGTCAGAGGCGGTGTCGAAGCATTGGACCATAAACTGGCCTAGTGTGAAACCAGCATTACAGACAAAAAATGTTGTCCAACTTACTGTAGCTGTTGTAGCAGAGGAAATGGGGGAAGCAGGACTTGACAGGCTTTCTGGCGCAGTGGTAGGCCTTACCTGCAGCTGATGGAAACACACACACACACACACACACACACACACACACACACACACACATACACATACACACACACACACACACACACACACACACACACACACACACACACACATACACACACACACTGCACTGTACTGTATTGACAGCTACCCTAACGGGTCACGCTGCCCTCCAACCAAGCATGGGTATGATGAGGGACAGTGGCAACAAAAACTAAAAACAGCAAGCAGAGAGAGAGATGGCAGGAGAAAGACAGCAACAGTAGTACATCTGGTGTGCAACGTATAGAAAAAGAGAGATGACAAGAAATACGCACAAAAAGGAAACAATAATTATTTGAACCTGTGTTATTGCAGTTCCGAAACAATCAACCAGGTGATGGAGTGTGGGCACCCGAATTCCCACCTGGACTCCACTGGAAGAAAATCCCACGCAGGGATATCAGCTATAGGCCAAGCATTGAAAACAGCCATGAGGACACATCGTCTAGAAGTACACACAATTTCCCATGCGTAGTCAGCCAGCGTAACGCTTCTCCCTGCATCACCATTCATCTCCAGCAACCGTCTCCATTCACAGCTAATGCCTCTGCCAACACTGTACTCCGAGCTTCGCAGTTTGAAACCATTCGGGGGTCAGCTGCACCACCGCGAATGGAGAGACGAGGACGACAACGGTCGTGACAGAAAATACACTGCCCTGGCGACCACGTTGCGGAACCCTGGCCCCAGCAAATTCAGAAACACGCCAGGGGCGCCTCTGGTGAACCCAGAGCCACCCCGTGGCCTAAGACTAGTAAGAGGAACGACTGAAAACTCAGATAAAACAGAACTACAAAAAGTGCAACCGTCCGCTTCAAGCACAGTTGCACACACACGCACACACACACTGATGCACACACACACCAACACACATCAATCATCATGCGAGTGTGTGCACATGCAGACAGGCACTCAAACATTCGTACACGCGATCACCAAAAAACATCAACCCCAGCAGTTGGTCATACATCAATCTCCTTCAAGCCAAGTTACAGAAAAGCTCAGTACACTATGGACAAGTCCGGCACAATAGGGCTTGAAAGTGATAGCGTCAAAACGGCCAGGGAGTAGTAAGTTCGCGTTATATTTCTAGATTTGAATCCACTAAGTGTGACTTTGCTATTGCCTACAGTGTGTGGGTGCATAGCAACTAGTGCTGTGCACGGGTAGTCGGGTACCGGAGCTACTCGTGAGGACCTTGGGTAGACGGGCATGGAATAGTACCGAAACCCGAAGTCGCAGATGACATCATGTACAGCGTAAGTGTACTGAAGTACAAATTCATGAAATACTCCGCATGTCTACCCTGTGTGTAAGGGAAGGGATGCATTGTGGCGTTACCATGGAAACATTACCCGATCGGGTACCCGTGCTACCCGTAAAAACTACCCGAACCCGATACCGGAAGAATATGCTACCCGACTCAGCCCTAATAGCAACCCACTCATGTCTTATCCAGGTGTGACTTTTTCTTCGCCACCAGTTGTCACCCCATCCTCATCAGCCAACCCAGTAAATTTTACCGGCTATATCACCTTGCTGTGAGTAAGACTGCTTGAAATGTGCTTAGATCCATACACATTGCTGTTTTCTTGTGAAAGCCTGAGCGCGCCTTTGGGCACGCATGAACCATAAGCGTACCACGTCCACGGACCAGTTGGGAACACAGCTTTACAATAATATGTTATGTCGTTCAGCTTACTGTCGTTGCTGTAGGAGGGGCAGGGGCAGGGGCAGAAGCTGAACTTGAGCGGCTGTCTTGTGCAGCAATGGGACTAGAAACAGGTACCTGCAGTTTATCACACCGGCACAGACACACAGACACACAGACACACAGACACACAGACACACACACAAACAAACGAAAAAAACCAAAAATAATAATAATAAATTCGACGGGTTCGCGTACTAGGCAGGTCAAGAACAAGGAGTCGTACAACTCCCTGGTCAAGAATCACCTTCTCGATTCCGTGTGACGCCACCACCCCATGATCAGGCGTCAGACGCGGCTCGTAAACGGTGGGGGAGGATAGATCAGATCCACCAACCAGAGGCCAAAGACCTCAACCCCATTTGCCACATCCATGTCTTACTCATGCCAGGCCAAGAGTTCCCAATTAACTGTGGGTCGCAGCACGGTTGGAAAAATCCTTCCGCTTCCAAGCAGGACTTGAACCTGGTACCTCTCGTTTCTCAATCATGGTCTTAGACCAACCCACTGTGCCTGCCTGCATGACGGGTTACATGGGGGATGCTAAAGACTAGCTCACATTCGACAGGGCGCGTCGGAACACGCCTTTAGAAGCGAAAGGACCCTCATGACGCTGATTGACGGCGTCCAATGTGATTACCAGAAACGGGAATGCAACCGTGCTACCGTACAAATCGGGAAGCGTAAGACAATTTCCCGGTTGACATGGAATCATAAGAGAAAAAGCATCAAGATCCCTGTGAAAATCACCTGGTGTGAACTCCGTTGTCACACAGGATTCTGACCAATTTGCTACGATTTTCTCATCATACGATTTTTGCACCAAGTATCGCAGGATCAATATTTGACCCAAAGGTGGGCTGACTTTTAGTGCTTTCACATGTTGGAGCGGGCCTCCAACAAGGAATTTCACCATGACAGCAGAGAGAGTCGGTGCAGATTGTGAACTAGCCCTTTCATGCTTTTGACCCTGTAGCTTGTTTAGATAGCAATGATCACATCTCCGCTCTGGCGTCTACCACTCTCTAGTGTGGCTGTGTACAACTTGTATGTGTGTACACAGTCAGGTCTACAAGTGAAATACCTCACTGTTGAGTGTGTGAACAGGTAGTGTGACTCATCTGACACAGTCAGCAGATTTCATGTCGGAGGCGGTGTCGAAGCATTGGACGATAAACTGGCCTAGTGTGAAACCGGCATTACAGACAAAGAATGTTACGCAACTTACAGAAGCTGTTGTAGCAGAGGCAGTGGCAGAAGCAGAACTTGACAGGCTTTCTGGGGCAGTGGTAGGCCTTATCTGCAGCTGACGGAAACACACACGCACACACACACACAGACACACACACACACACACACACACACACACACACACACACACAAACACAAACACAAACACACACACACACATTTGTACACGCGAACACAAAAAAACATCAACCCAGCAGTTGGTCGTACATAAATATCCTTTCTGTAGTAAGTCCACGTCAGATTTCTACTTTTGGATCCACTAAGGTGTGACTTTGCTATTGCCACAGTGTGTGAGTGCATAGCAACTAGTTGTATGCACGAGTAGTTGGGTACCCGTGCTACTCGTGAGGACCTCGGGTAGACGGTTACATAATAATACTCAAAGTCGCAGATGACATCATGTACAGCGTGAGTGTACAAATTCATTTAACACTCCGCATGTCTACCCAGTGTGTAAGGGAAGGTGTGCATTGTGGTGTTACCATGGAAACATTACCCGATCTTCGCCACCAGTTGTCACCCCATCCTCATCAGCCAACCCAGTAAATTTTACCGGCTATATCACCTTGCTGTGAATAAGACTGCTTGAAATGTGCTTAGGTCCATACAAACACTGGATCCATGAGGATCCAGGTTTGAATTTTTGCAATTGTTGCTATGCTGTGACGTAGCACTTTCAAGCCCTATTATAAACAAAATTGCAGGCACAGATTGCAGTTGTCTGACGTCCTAATCTTCCAAAATAAGCAGTGTTATAGCGAAAACAAAAATGAAAGGGGGGAGGCGTGCGCAGATCATCCGCCCCACAATTTTGTGAGTTTTACCGCCATCTTGTGCCTCCATTCTCTGCTGTGCTAAAACAGGATGTGTAATTATAATGCATATAAAAAGGTGGCGATCGCACTCTGAAGGTTGGAGCATTCTCTCTGAAAGGGGGCAGTCAAAAAGTGAAAGAGGGCGTAGTGCCGCGCCATGTCGCTTTATCGAGAACCCTCAGAAGTCCAGCAGGCCCTAATGTTTGGGTTGGTGTCCACTGTACAAACTTCATCATCCACCAAAACACGAGCTCCGGTGTGGGATCATCCAACTTTTCTACAATTAACGCCAAAGTGGTTTCCACTATCTGGTTTAGTGATGCTTAGCAAAGCCTTCGGACTGGCTGGTTTGAGGGCAAAAGCATTGCGAATGACAATGTATCTATCCATGAACAACACTGACTGACATTGCTATCCAATATTCATGAGGTGCTTGTTGCACTGGAAACTATGCACCAAACTGCACCAAGCTGTCACAGTGAGGGAATGAGGCACAATCTGGGATAAAAGAACAGCCACATTTGGGCAAAATAATAGCAAATCTGGTCTCATGCGGATATTTTGGTCGTTAAACGACATTTAATGCTGATGTTCGATAACTTAAGCTGTGTTCACAACTGGCGCGTGTACGCGTGAAACCACTCGTTCGTGCGTATTTTGCTGGCTTTTGGAGCGCCACGGAAACACGCCGAAATGGAAATCTCAACATGATGGAATTTTCAGCGCGTATCAGGCGCGTACCAGCGTACATGCCAGTCACATTGACTGGCGGGGTCAAGAATTAGTACTCAAAGGTGTCGCACGCGCTAAATACGACTCGGATTGCTGTTTTTTTGTGAACGTCTGAGCGCGCGTTTGGGCACGCATGAACCGCAAGAGTACCACGTCCACGCATCAGTTGTGAACACAGCTTTACAATACCGTAAAATTCCGTTAATATGCCCCGGGCGTATCCTTTGCAGAGTGTTAAAAACCGGGCGTATATTTCGGCATGGGCTTATTTTAGGGCATGGGCGTCATTTCGGACGCGATCTGCAGGAGATCAATCAATCAGCAACTCATTGTTGAAACGTCTACCTGGCACTCAAGACCACTACAGAAATGTGAAAACAAAAAGCCGCCAGGAGTCAAAACGGAGGGAAGCGCTTCGTCCTCATGCGTCACTACGAGCCACTACGTACAGGTAAGCGCGGCATGCTTTGCTACATTTTTTGGCAGTTTGCTACATTCCAACGGAACATCGCTGTCCTCCCACGCGCCGTGACAGTGTTGAGTTCTGCACTGTGCTGCGTGCAGTTGGATGGCACGCACTCGATCTACAACTGTTCTACGGTTTGTACGCGAACGCACGCTCGCTCGCTGGTCGTTTTGAGTCCACTTTACGCCCTGGGCTTATTTAGGGCATTGGCGCTAAAACGGACTTGAAGTGTACACCACTTAAAACTGGGCTTATTAGCGGACATGGGCGTTATTTAGGGTGGGCTTATTGACGGAATTCTACGATATACATGTAGGTTATGTCATTTAACTTACTCTCGTTGCTGTAGGAGAAGCAGGGGCAAGGGCAAGGGCAGTGGCAGAATTTGAACTTGAGCGGCTGTCTTGTGCAGCAATGGGACTACAGACAGGTACCTGCAGTTTATCACACCGGCATAGACACACACACAGAAACACACACACACACACACACACACACACACAGAAACACACACACACAGGCACATGGACACACATACAAACACACACACACACATACACACACACACAAACAAACAAAAAGTTCATTCGCATGATTATACAAGTAAATAATACAAAAACATGCTGGATATAATATGTGAAGAAGAGGTTGGTGCGACTTCGGCGTTAGTAGGGGAAGAGTGTGTTGCTCACTACATGAGAGCTCGCGGTTTTCCTGCCGACTTGAATTCTCACTTGACTGACTCACGACTGCCATCCTGAGCACGCGAGAAGTCCATTGAACCATCCACTCGGCAAACCTGCAAGAAAGCACCACTCCCTGCTCAATACACAGTGTTTTGGGGAATTCACCCCTCATCAGTTGAGCTTGAGTAGGCTGAGGAAGATTGGGCCTCAAGAGCACCACTTATATAGTGCTCTCCAGGCATAAACATCACCAGGGATGCAAATTTACAGAGACGCTCCGTTTCCAGGGCGACACACATCTCGTGAACACCAGATAGCAGCGTGAGTCAGTGTCGCTCATGGAGGTGCTGAACAAGCGCTGAGGACAGTTGGCCATTCACAACGTTGTTGCCTCCAAACCATCTAATTCGCAAGCCCGTGCTGGGGACAACAATGTGAAGAAGAGGTTGGTGCGACTTCGGTGATGGTAGGGGAAGATTGTGTTGCTCCCTGCATGGGAGCTCGCGGTTTTCCCGCCTACTTGAATTCTAACTTGACAGACTCACGACTGCCATCCAGAGCGCTTTGAGCAGGGAGTGGAATCGTAGAAGAATTGTCAGAAACTTGTGTGACAACGGAGTTCACATCAGGTTATTTTTGCCCTGATTTTGAAGCATTTTCTCGTATGATTCCATGGTCAGCCAGGAAATTGTCCTTTCCTTCCCGTTTTGGGCAATAGGACGGTTGCATTCCCGTTTCTGGCAATCATATTGGTCGCCGTCAATCAGCGTCGTGAGTGTCCTGTCGCTTCTAACGACGTGTTACGTCGCGCCCTTTCGAATGTGAACTAGTCTTTCCCGCCATGTCACCCCTCAACCTGATTGCAGGAAGTAAAATTCATAATGCCCTCCCTGACATGCATCACCCTATAATTGTACCTCTAAAACCTTCACATAACCGGGTATCCTATAGAATCCAGTCCGACATGCGGTCACTATCGGGTATCAAACTTTTACTTCCTCCGTTAAGCAACTTCGTTGCGATTTTACAGTTCTGTCCAAATCATTCTATGGCTACGAACACGCTTTGCAAAGTGGAAAACAAGGCAGCATATGAAAGATATTTATTTACAGATGTCACACAGCTCGTTTCAAAGCAGTCCAGCTTCACTCTTCGTCTGAATCTTATGACGATTCACTCCCTGATGACATCGAGTCTGCATCCTCGCTTACTGTAGCCGCCAGCGCTGCCAGCTTTTGTTACGCAGCCTTTACAAGTTCCAAAACACGATTATTTTGATCGTGGAGATCGCCAAGTTCTTCGCTCGAACTGTGACCTTGACGACCTCCACGGTGGCGCTGATAGTTGTGGTCACTCTCCGGACCGCCATGGAAAGAGCCATACAGACCCAAACAAACGCTCGCCATTTTTGCAGCGGTTTGTCTTGCCAGCACGTTTCCACACCCGAAGAAGCTCCTTTCTGGTTTCCTTTGCCACGAGTGACATGTCTGTCTACAGGCTGTGGAAGACGGCGAAGTCGTCGACGTTGAGATCAGGATTTTGCGCCGACTGAACGACAACCTGAATGTCGAACGCTTTTGATTTTCCCTGCGCTGCAAACAAAAGTGCATTGATTTTGGTTGTGTGCGGATGCGCACTATCGACTCGGTCTAGTAATCGTACAGCAGTGCCTGAGTGCTGGCCGGCTCCTGGACACTTCTTCGAGCCACGCGATCTTTCAAACTGTTTCTCATTTTCGAACTTTGGTGTCATGCGCGCGCGCCTGGGGTTGTGTTCTGGTGACATCCTGTCGAGAAACGGTTCTGCTTCGCCGATTTTTCAAAGGACTCCACGCTTTTCAGAGGTTCAAAAGCCTGTCAGAACAATGGACTACAACTCAGCTACTCTATGTAGGGGATAGATCACTGACATGTATGTCTAATGCCGACAGAAATATCATGGCAAGAACACTAAAAACGCAACGAAGTTTTGCTTAACGGAGGAAGTAAGTGAACATATTATATCCGAAGAGTATGTTGCTCCCTACATGGGAGCTCGCGGGTTTCCTGCCGACTTGAATTCTAACTTGACTGACTCACGACTGCCATCCAGAGGACACGAGAAGTCCATCGAACCGTCTACTCGGCAAACCTGCAAGAAAGCACCACTACCTGCAATCAGGTTGAGGGGTGACATGGCGGGTGCTAAAGACTAGTTCACAATGGAAAGGGCGCGATGTAACACGCCGTTAGAAGCGACAGGACACTCATGACGCTGATTGACGGCGACCTATATGATTGCCAGAAACGGGAATGCAACCGTCCTACTGCACATAACGGGAAGGATAGGACAATTTCCCGGCTGACATGGAATCATACGAGAAAATGGTTCAAAATCAGGGCGAAAATCACCTGATGTGAACTCCGTTGTCACACAAGATTCTGACAAATCTTCTACGATTTTCTTATCATAAGATTTTTCAGCCAAGTATCGCGGAGTCGATATTTCACCCAAAGGTTTAATGATATTTAGTGCTTTCACGTGTTGGAGATGGCCTCCAACATGGAATTTCGCCATGACAGCAGAGAGTGTCGGTGCAGACTGTGAACAAGCCCTTTCATACTTTTGACCCTGTAGCTTGTGTATATAAAAACGATCACATCTCCGCTCTAGCATCTACCACTCTCTAGTGTGGCTGTGCACAATTTGTATGTGTGTGTGCACAGAGAGGTCTAGAAGTGAAATAGCTCACTGTTTTATGTTTTGAATAGGTAGTCCGACTCTTCAGACACAGTCCGCCTATTTAATATTGTAGTCGGTGTTGAAGCATTGACCGACAAACTGGCCTAGTGTATAAGGTCACACGTTTTTTTATTTCTATGTTTCTCGTCACCTGAAAATCTAAAAACGTATGCGAGAGGTGGAAAAAAATGACCGAAAAATAAAAGATAGTTGATTAGACCAGTGTTCACACTAAAATCCACCAATAAACCATGCAAAATAGCATCCATAGTTAGCAAATAGTATGTGGTAGGAGCTTCTGTCACAATCTGTGCATGTGCAGCTAGATTGCGCACTAAACAATGCCGTCCTTGCATCAAGTGTCGCGCAGGCAAGGCCATATTATGTACATGTACATGAGTGTGCTGGTGCCCACATGCACAGTCAGTGCAGCCCATTTTTTTCTTTTTTTCTTCCACACTCCTGAATCGTAAGCACGCGGGTGAGGAGAAGCATAGAAATAGAAACGTGTGGCCTAACTGGCATTACAGAGAAAACTGGTGCTCAACTTACCACAGATGTTGTAGTTGAGGCAGTGGCAGAAGCAGAACTTGACAGGCTTTCGGGTGCAGTGGTAGGCCTTATCTGCAGCTGACACACACACACACACACACACACACACACACACACACACACACACACACACACACACACACATACAGACATGATGTGAATGCATGCACACACAATAACGTCAACCCCTGTAGTCAGTCACACATCAATTTCCGTCAAGCCAAGTTACAGAAAAGTTCAATACACTATGGTCCAGCCCACCATAATTATAAACCTGATTGCTGGCATAGATTACAGTTGTCTGATTTCCTTATCTTCCACAACAAGTCAAGCATGTCCCCATGTTTGGGTTGGTGTCTGCTATGCAAACTACTTCAGCCACTAGGAGCCTTCACCAATCTATGGTCCGATAGGATTTATTGCAAAATCGAATGACGAATTGCGTGTATCTATCCATGAACAACACTGACTGACATTGCTATCCAATATTCATGAGGTGCTTGTTGCACTGGAAACTATGCACCAAACTGCACCAAACTGTCACAGTGGCTCAATGAGACACAATCTGGGATAAAAGGGAGCCCAATTTGGCCAAAATAGCATGTTTGTCCTTGTGCGGATATCTTGTTCGCTACCGACATTGACTCTGTTGGATATCGTACAACAGAGGTATGTTGTTTAACTTACTCTAGTTCCTGCAGGAGAGCCAGTCATGGCAGGGGCAGTGGCAGAAGCTGAACTTGACTGGCTGTCTTGTGCAGCAATGGGACTAGAAACAGGTACCTGCAGTTTATCACACCGGCACAGACACACAAACACACAGACACACACACACACACACACACACACACACACACACACACACACACACTCGCACACACAAACAAACAAAAAGTTCATTCGCATGATTATACAAGTAAATAATACAATAACATGTTGGATATAATTTGTACACATAAAAGTTTCATACCCGACAGTGACCGGATATCGGAGTGGATTCTAGAGGATACCTGGTTATGTGAAAGTTGTATTGGTATAATTATAGGGTGGTCCATGTCAGGGAGGGCATTATGAATTTTTACTATTTAACCGGAAATCAGGGTGAGGGGTTACATAAAATATAATAATAATAATAAATTCGACGGGTTTGCGTACCAGGCAGGTCAAGAACAAGGAGTCGTACAACTCCCTGGCCAAGAACCACCTTTCCGCTTCCGTGGGACGCCACCACCCCATGATCAGGCGTCAGATGTGGCTCCTAAACGGTGGGGGAGGATAGGTCAGATCCACCAACCAGAGGCCAAAGGCCTCAATCCCATTTGCCACATCCATGTCTTACTCATGCCAGACCAAGAGTTCCCAATTAACTGTGGGTCGCAGCACGGTTGGAAAAATCCTTCCGCTTCCAAGCAGGACTTGAACCTGGCACCTCTCATTTCTCAATCATGGTCTTAGACCAACCCACTGCGCCTGCCTGCATGAGGGGTTACATGGGGGATGCTAAAGACTAGTTCACATTCGACGGGCGCGTCGGAACACGCCTTTAGAAGCGACAGAACCCTCATGACGCTGATTGACGGCGTCCAATGTGATTGCCAGAAACGGGAATGCAACCGTGCTATCGTACAAATCGGGAAGCGTAAGACAATTTCCCGGTTGACTTGGAATCATACGAGAAAAAGCATCAAGATTGAGGTGAAAATCACCTGGTGTGAACTCCGTTGTCACACAGGATTCTGACAAATCTGCTACGATTTTCTCATCATACGATTTTTGGACCCAAAGGTGGGCTGACTTTAAGTGCTTTCACATGTTGGAGCGGGCCTCTAACAAGGAATTTCACCATGACAGCAGAGTGAGTCAGTGCAGATTGTGAACTAGCCCTTTCATGCTTTTGACCCTGTAGCTTGTGTATATAGAAATGATCACATCTCCGCTCTGGCGTCTACCACTCTCTGGTGTGGCTGTGTACAACTTGTATGTGTGTACACAGTCAGGTCTACAAGTGAAATACCTCACTGTTCAGTGTGTGAACAGGCAGTTCGACTCATCCGACACAGTCAGCAGATTTCATGTGGGAGGTGGTGTCGAAGCATTGGACGATAAACTGGCCTAGTCTGAAACCGGCATTACAGACAAAAAATGTTGTTCAACTTACCGTAGCTGTTGTAGCAGAGGCAGTGGCAGAAGCAGAACTTGACAGGCTTTCTGGTGCAGTGGTAGGCCTTACCTGCAGCTGATGGAAACACACGCGCACACACACACACACACACACACACACACACACACACACACACACACACACACACACACACACACACACACACACACACACTGTACTGTACTGTATTTACAGCTACCCTAACGGGTCACGCCGCCCTCCACCCAAGCATGGGTATGATGAGGGACAGTGGCAACAAAAACAAAACAAAAAAGCAAGCAGAGAGAGATATAGCAGGAGAAAGACGGCGATAGTAGTACATCTGGTGTGCGACGTATAGAATCACCATCCATCTCCAGCAACCGTCTCCACTCACAGCTAATGCCTCTGCCACCACTGTACTCCGAGCTTCGCAGTTTGAAACCATTCGGGGGTCAGCTACACCACCGCAAATGGAGAGACGAGGACGACAACGGTGATGACAGAAAAGACACTGCCCTGGCAACCGCGACGCGGAACCCTCGCCCAGCAAATTCAGAAAAACGCCAGGGGCAACTCTGGTGGACCCAGAGCCGCCCCGTAGCCTAAGTAAGAGGAACGACTGAAAACTCAGATAAAACAGAGCGACGAAAAGTTCAACCGTCCCCTTCAAGCACAGTTGCACACACACACACACACACACACACACACACACACACACACACACACACACACACACACACAGACACACACACACACACACACACACACACGCCAACACACATCATGCGAGTGTGTGCACATGCAGACAGTCACTCAAACATTCGTACACGCGATCACCAAAAAACATCAACCTCAGCAGTTGGTCGTACATCAATCTCCTTCAAGCCAAGTTACAGAAAAGCTCAATACACTATGGGCAAGCCCTGCACAATAGGGCTTGAAAGTGATAGCGTCAAAACGGCCAGGGAGTAGTAAGTTCACGTTATATTTCTAGGTTTGAATCCACTAAGTGTGACTTTACTATTGCCTACAGTGTGTGGGTGCATAGCAACTAGTTCTGTGCACGGGTAGTCGGGTACCCGAGCTACTCGTGAGGTCCTCGGGTAAACGGGCATAGAATAGTACCCAAAACCCGAAGTCGCAGATGACATCATGTACAGCGTGAGTGTACAAATTCATGTAATACTCCGCATGTCTACCCAGTGTGTAAGGGAAGGGGTGCATTGTGGTGTTACCATGGAAACATTACCCGGTCGGGTATCCGTGCTACCCATTGAAAACTACCCGAACTCGATACCGGAAGAAAATGCTTCCCACTCAGCCCTAATAGCAACCCACTCATGTCTGATGCAGGTGTGACTTTTTTTTCGCCACCAGTTGCCACCCCATCCTCATCAGGCAACCCAGTAAATTTTACCGGCTATGTCACCTTGCTGTGTGTAAGACTGCTTGAAATGGGCTTAGATACATCCATATTGCTGTTTTTTTTGTGAAAGCCTGAGCGCGCCTTTGGGCACGCATGAACTGCAAGCGTACCACTTCCACGCACCAGTTGGGAACACAGCTTTACAATTTAGGTTATGTCGTTCAACTTACTCTCGTTGCTGTAGGAGAGGCAGGGGCAGGGGCAGAAGCTGAACTTGAGCGGCTGTCTTGTGCAGCAATGGGACTAGAAACAGGTACCTGCAGTTTATCACACCGGCACAGACACACGCACACACACACACACACACACACACATACACACACACACACTCACACACACACACACACACACACACACACACACACACACACACATACACAAACACGAGCACACACAAACAAAAAGTTCATTCGCATGATTACACAATTAAACACCACACCAACATGCTGGATATAATATGTTCACTTAAAAATTTGATACCCGACAATGACCGGATATCGGAATGGATTCTAGAGGATACCCGGTTATGTGAAAGTTGTATTTGTATAATTATAGGGTGGTGCATGTCAGGGAGGGCATTATGAATTTTACTACCTGCAATCAGGTTGAGGGGTGACATGGCCGATGCTAAAGACTAGTTCACATTCGAAAGGGCGCGACGCAACACGCCGTTAGAAGCGACAGGACACTCATGATGCTGATTGATGGCGACCAATATGAATGCCAGAAACGGGAATGAAACCGTCCTACTGCACAAAACGGGAAGGATAGGACAATTTCCCGGCTGGCATGGAATCATACAAGCAAATGCATGAAAATCAGGGCGAAAATTACCTGGTGTGAACTCCGTTGTCGCAAAAGATTCTGACAAATCTTCTACGATTCTCTTATCATATGATTTTTCGGCCAAGTATCGCAGGGTCGATATAGGTTTGCTGATATTTAGTGCTTTCACGTGTTGGAGCGGGCCTCCAACAAGGAATTTCGCCATGACAGCAGAGAGCGTCGGTGCAGACTGTGAACAAACCCTTTGATGCTTTGGACCCTGTAGCTTGTGTGTATAGAACGATCACATCTCCGCTCTGGCGTCTACCACTCTCTAGTGAGGCGGTGTACAATTTGTATGTGTGTTCTCACTGTTTTATGTTTTGAAGATGTAGTCCGACTCTTCAGACACAGTCCGCCTATTTCATGTTGTAGTCGGTGTCGAAGCATTGGCCGACAAACTGGCCTAGTGTATAACTGGCATTAGAGAGAAAACTTTTGCTCAACTTACCACAGCTGTTGTAGCTGAGGCAGCGGCAGAAGCAGAACTTAACAGGCTTTCGGGTGCAGTGGTAGGCCTTATCTGCAGCTGACACACACACACACATACACACACACACACACACACACACACACACACACACACACACACACACACACACACACACACACACATACACACACACACACATACATGATGTGAGTGCATGCACACACAATAACGTCAACCCCTGTAGTCAGTCACACATCAATTTCCGTCAAGCCAAGTTACAGAAAAGTTCAATACACTATAGTCCAGGCCGCCATAATTATAAACTTGATTGCTGGCACAGATTACAGTTGTCTGATTTCCTTATCTTCCACAACAAGTCAAGCATGTCCTCATGTTTGGGTTGGTGTCTGCTGTGCAAACTTCTTCATCCACTAGGAGCCTTCACCAATCTATGGTCTACAGTGACTGCATCAAGGACTGCCATCTTACGATAGGATTTATCGCAAAACCGTGCAGGTCCATATGTGGCTGAAGAAACAAAAGCACCAGGAACATGGGTCACAGGGTGTCCCGTTCAAAATTTTCATTCAGGATGAACAGTCAATCTGATAAAGATATTCAGCTGATTCTGTTTATTGCAATCCCTAAACTGTTGGCACCTCACTGCCTTTTCAAATATTAACTAGCGTTCTATTCCTGGGATTTAAGATTCATACCTGATGGGTGGTTGCAGACATCGTTGATAGCTGGCCAGAAACCGCCAAAATTTGGTCCGTCAACGTTGCCATCTGTCGGGAAGTCTGTTCGTTCGTATCACACAGCTGGTCGGCGAGAGTTTGTACTCGGCGGCTTGTGGTGGTTTGTTCGTTGTGTATAGTGTGTTGAGTAGCAGTCAGTTGTTGTTGCGCCATGGTCTGGTTTTCAGCAATGGCCTCCAGATGTTCAGTAAGTCGTTGCGTTGCTGAACTCTGTTCGTCTTGAACTGCGGATACTTGCTCACGTGTGGCAGTAATTTGTTGTTGTGTGGTCGTCTGGTTGTTGGTAATGGCCGCTGTAAGCTGTTCCTCTAGCGTATCACTGCGTGCCGACAATGCAGTGATGGATGTAGCTTGCTGGGTTAGCTGTTGGGAGATAGAGTCCAGTCGACGTACAACAGCTGGTGGTACGTTGGAAAGATGAGGCTGTAATGAACACACAGTGTAGCAAGCACAACAACGCCACACAGAGCATACCCACACAGCAATACAACACAACACCACACAGAGTATACCCACAGAGCAACACAACACCACAAAACACAACATGCCCACACAACAACACAGCAGATTACTTATCAACACAACAACACCACACGTTGTACCAACACAGTTATGCACACTTACGCACACACACGCATCCACCCACACATGCACGCACACATGCACGCACACACGCACACATGCAGCCACACACGCACGCACACACACACCTGTCACGTGGAGCCACTACCACAAGGGTCACGTGGGCACCGGAGGGGCAGCAGAGAGAGAGAGAGTGAAAGAGCACGCCACCCGATGGCGCTCCAAATGCGAGACTAGTCGGAACCGGCGAGAGCAGATACTTCCTCCGTATACAAAGACTTCGTGACTTTTTCAACGGTGTTTTTGAACAGTTGTATTTCTCGCCGGCCGAGCGCAGCGAGATGGGTGAGAAATGATTTCTCGCGAAACATTTTCGGCTGCAAATAGGACATCTGGTGTGTCCTTTATTGTCGCTTCTTTTCCTGATTTCTTCAGTCAGTTTTGAGTCTCACCAGTGTCCCTGCCCTCCCACCCTTCATTTCTGTGCATATTTTCATTGCTTTTTTATCACTTTTTGCCGTGATGTGCTTGCCATGCCTACATGATGCCTAATCGCCATTGGGGATATACACCCGGGTTTTTTCCGTCACAACTGCATCTGTCGGCGCGAGGGTTTTTTCCCGGCTGACTAAGTGGTTCTGCATCATGGCCTATTTCTGACAATGCCTTTTCTATCTGAGACACTCTGCAGTGGAGGGTTTAGGCGGGGGGCGTGGGGGTCGCCCCTCCCCCCCCCCCCCCCCCCGCCTCAAAGGTTTCGACTAAGGTTTCGAAAAATGGAAGGCAGGGCTTGCTAGGCGCGTGCACGGCCTGAAACGATCGTCCAAAAGCGGATGCACTGTACGGTGCTCGAGCTGGTGTTGATTGTACACACTACAGTCCAGAGTACAGTCTACAGAGTACAGTGAGCATGCACGGCTACAGAAACACGATGACCTGACTGTGTACACTGTACTGTTGTACAGTGTGATCCCAGTGTTGGGACGCGCTCGACACATCTTCAACGTACAAACATCGAAGAAAAGTCTTCGAGTCAACCAAAACACGATTCGAATGCCGAGGGCTCAGG